ACCTAAAAGGAATAGAGACCGGGGGGAACAAGCTACAAACTGTAACTTGTAGAGAAAGACTGGCAATCTCGGTTATCTTAGCTTCCTTTATCCCAGGGTGTGTGTGAGTCACAATTTTTTTGTTTCCAGGCCGGAACCCGTAGTTAGAACGATGTCTCGCATTCGCTTACCAGACGAGACTATAAACTTTTGCCTTAACGTCAAAATAACGATATCCTAATAGTCTTGGTAAAGGTTTCCCCTGTGTCAGTGTAACTATAATTGGATACCTAATTGATGTCGTAGTAAAATAGCAAAATTACGGTAACTCTGGCCAAAACTGGGTCTGTTTTGGTTCCATTCGGTACAATCGCAAAATCCGATGGATCGCGGTGTACAAAACGTGACATGCAAAAGAATTATTTGCAGCGCTCAAACATAGAAAGTCACAACTCCACCCCCGTGGCAATCATTTAATCAAAAAGGGCAATATACCTATATTTATAAGTTATCAAATAATTTATAATTCCAAGGAATCTGCAAACAAAGGACGTTTACTACGTTAAAGCCGGGCTTGGGCCAGGCACCCCGAATCCCTTTCAATTCCTTTAGTGGAGGGTCGCCAACTCAAGGATTGTGTAGAGCTGGAGGCTTTAGCGACGTATCGGTAAAGTAGACTTTGTTCGACCATAGGATACTCCAGCACCTTTCTAGAATACATATATATAAGGACGAAGGACATGATGCGTCAAAGACTCTCACGTCGGATGCGGTCCGAGACTAGACTCAGGACGTATGGACGTCCCTGAGTAGCTATTAGCAACCTGACCTAAATAGGTCTCTCAGATGTCTAAGAAATATTGTGTCAAACTCTAAACACTTTGGAATTAAGATAAACACTTTTATGTTTTTTCCTGTCTAAACGTCACGAAAAAATGTACATCTGGTGTATTCTGGTCCAGGACTAGATTTTGGTGATATGGATGCTAGATAGTTTAGAGCTAACCTAATAGGGTCTCTCAGGATTTGTAAGAAATATTGTGTCAAACTCTAAACACTTTGGAATTAAGATAAACA